AAGGAGGTGACTTTTTCCCAGCCTTGAGTAAACACATACAGAACTCGATGTGAAAACACAGGTTAATCCCTATGGAAAACTCTGTAGGGCAGCAGGTGCGAGGTGATAGACAAGATGCAGGCAGGTGTTCCAGAGTTTCCTGTGTGTGTGTGTGTGTGTGTGTGTGTGTGTGTGTGTGTGTGTGTGTGTGTGTGTGTGTGTGTGTGTGTGTGTGTGCGTGTGTGGTTACGGTTGTCCTCCCTTTGCCTGTCTGTGTCTCACCTGGTTGACATCTCCCTCTCCGATAACGAAGACCAGCTTGCAGTCTTTCTCCACCACAGTCCTATCCTCTAGCACACCCTGCATTTTTAGCGTGACCTCTTGGCCCCAAGCCGGGGTCATGCCATTCCCGGGACTGGCCTGTAACACCTTCTTCCTGAGCAGGCGGTTATCTACAGGCGGTTGGGGTAGTGGAGTGAAAACGGGGGAGGGGAAAGAGATCAACCAGACCCTAAAGCAATAGTGTAAAACTGTGTGGTGGATGTTCTTAGTGTGGTGTCTTTCTGGCTAAGCTAGTAACCTTTTCCTTTCAACTAGCCGCTAGTTAAAAGGAAAATTTGGTTATTGTTTACTTTCAAACCTGTGCAACTTTTTTTTCTGTTGTGGAACAAAAAATAACTGTGTTTGTCCATATAAAGACTGTCAATGGGGTCCAAAACAACATTGAACTCTGCTGTTTGAACAAAAAACACAGAGACAGTTTTCTTAGTTTGGAAATGACATGGGTGAACTAAACCTTCAAGAAGATTTTTGGGGACATCAACAGCCAAAACATTATATCAGCAATACATCGTACACTGTTAAAAATAGTGGTTCTTTGTTGGCATCTATGGTTAATTGAAGAACCTTTAACACCCATGGAGCTTTCCATTGAACAAAATGTTCTTTACACAAATTCTAATGAAATATCGTGGACAAAAAAAGATCCATTGTTTATTGTCAACAATTGTTGCGTTGATTCCTATTGAAATGCTTGGATTTCTCTCACGCAAATTTGCTGATCAATGTTAAATGTGACCACAGCTTAAGACAAAAAAAAAAAAGAAGGTTATTTTAAGGACTTTTCACTGAAAGGTTCTTTTGGGAACTCAAAAGAGTTCTTATAAGCATTGGCGTCACTGTGAAAATGCCCTTTTAGGCGTTTAGCGAAGATACAGGTGTAGCAAAGATACAGGTTTTGGCTGATTTTCAATGATTTCCTGATAACAAATTGGATGGCTTGAGTGTTTTATTTGTTTCAGACTAAACAAATATGTCATCGTGGACATACCTGTAACATCCTTCCAGTCGTCTGCCAGAAACAGCTCCTCAAAGCTGGTGCTCGTCCACTCTTCATTGTCAAAATCTGGAAAAAGAGAGTCTTCTGAGCTGTCCCTTTCTTCCACTGCTTCAATGTCTTTAAACCGAACTGATTTCCCAAAGCTGGGAGTCTTTGTCAGTGTTCTCCTGTCCTCTCTGTCTGATTCATTGGTCTCAGGTGGGCTGATGGGAGTATTTGAGGGAATGGGCTCATTGGTTGGGTCGCTGATGGAGTCATTAGCATCTGTGGGCATGTTGCTCAAGTTTTCAGCACACTTCATTTCTTCTACCTCTTCATTTTCCATTTCATCTTTCCGCTCACTTCCTTCTTCATACTCTTTGTGGTCCATTGGTTTCTTCTCATCCTCCTTTCCTGTGATATTCATTTTCTGCAGTTCCATGATTGGTTCTTGGAGCACCTCCCAGGGCTGCAAAATACCTTCTTCGCTCTTCCCCTCCTCTTTGTCCCCAACTGATTTTACAAAGATTTCAGACTCCAATGTTGTCTCCTCCAGTTCTCCAGCTTCTGGTTCCATGTCCCCACACGGTGCTATGGATACCATTTATCTCTTCCTAAAAGTGCTGAATGTCTTTCTAGCACAGGCCACACGCCAGGTTTGTAGAAATTGATGTCGCTGCTTTTCAACTGCCAAGCCGATGAGCACCTGCATCCATTAGTGACAGCGCGTAGTATTTTCTAAAGCGCCACGTCCACATGGACTCTAATAGAATTACCATGGAAATGCATCGCTGCATGAAATAAATCCCATCTGTGGCCAGTCCATTTCCTGCAGATCTCGTAAAAATGGTCCTTGTTGTTATGTTTTGCAGTGAATTTGTTGATTCGGTATCGAAGGATGCAAGAAATGATCAATGCATGAGAATTGTGTTGAAACGTAAAGCCCTACTGGTCAGTAGAGTTGTGTGCAGTGATAATCTGTTGGATTAGAAGAGCAAAATCTAATCTGCCCCAACGTCTGTAAGCTTCTTAATGACTTCATCACGTCGTCCCATAATACTGTTTCCATGAATGCGTCCACCAATAAGAGGACTTCAGGGACTTGTGGTTGTTTTTACTTACAATATAATGCAATATAAACATATTTCTTAATAAATACTGTATAAAGATAAATATTCTTCCAATATAAGTATACTACCTAGTAAAGTTTAGGGTTTGGTAAGATTTTTGTCAGATTTTCTTAAAAGATCTCTCTAAGGCTGCATTTATTCGAGCAAAATATTGTGATATATTATTAGAGTTTAAAATAACTGTTTTCTATTTTCAATACATTTTAAAATGTAATTTATTCCTGTGATGCAAAGCTGAATTTTTCCAGCATCATTACTCCAGTGTTCAGTGTCACATGATCCTTCAGAAATCATTCTAATATGCTGATTTGCTGCTTAAGAAAAATTTCTTATAATTGTAAATGTTGAAAATAAGTGTACTGATTAATATTTTTGTGGAAACCATGATACATTTTTCTCAGTCTTTGATGCATAGAAAGTTCAAAAGAACAGCATTTATTTGAAAATAAATTGTAGCTATGTTTTATCACTTTTTATAAATTAAATGCAATCTTGTTGAATAAAAAAAAAATCTTACTGACCCCAAACTTTTGAATGGTAGTGTAGATATCATTCTTATGCAATTTTACTTATATTGGCAGAACAAAATTCAAACGGGTATTTGATTAGATACTGAGCAAAGGTAATAAGAAAATACCATATTCTCATGAGGAGAACAGGCATTGACCGAAGATAACCCACTGTGCGAACACATGAACAGGTTTTTCCAGGTTTGCAACATGCCAAGTGTAAAGGAGACATCAATGAGCCATGCAAGACAAGACAAGCATTTTCAATGTCCTTATGCATGATTATATTACACTTATTAAAACACACTTAAATACATATTTAAAACAACAATCAATCAACAACACTTGACTGGCAACAATAACATTTATATATAAACTTTTAATGATGCAGTTTGTTGAGTGAGAGATAATAAACATAAAATGATTGCACTATTTAGCATTGCAGCATTAGTGCAACGAATTTAAATGTAAATATACATATAAGTACACGGATGTGACTTTATATGCAGCTTTGAGAATGTTGATCTTGGATTTGTCTCTAAAGATGAAACACACTAGAGATTTGTATTTGCTTTCTGGATTCTCCAGAGGCTGCCGGCACTGTTTATGGCAAGAGTAAGATTAACCAAAGGCCACAGGACTGACTTCTTGTTTAACCTGGGCCTTAAAATGGCACTTGAACAGCTGTGGTGGAGTTCTGTGAATAGTCACTAAGCTGATGACTAAGCGACTTACTGTTTGAAAGAATGACACTTTAAATAAAATTGGTGTTTTATGTAAGAAAGACTGATGTGTGTTTATCAATTTGGTGAGCTCAAATCTTTCAAGATTGACACATAGGCTACTGTGGAAACCTTGCCAACTCTGTAATATTCTCTCCAAATGTAAAATCCCCAAACAGTTTTTTAAAAAGCATTTGGAAAGGAAGGGAGTTTCAGTGGATTTTCAATGTGTTGACCGTTTTCTTTTCAAGTTGCTTGTCCTATTTGAAGTTCAGCAGTGAATGTCATGTACTTGATCCATTCCTAAGGCTCTGACACTTCAGTTATGGCTCTGTTTGGCTAAAAATATTGATCTCATCTGTATTTTTAATGTAAATGTACACTTAACATGGGGTCTCATGTCATAATATTCCAAAGCAATTGTAGAGTCAGTGGCATGTTTTATTATAAACCACAATTCAAGATAACGTATACTGTTTGTCCAGTCGGCTTCAGATGTCCCTGTATCTCAGACAGCCATATGGCAAGTAGAGTTTCCATTAGAGACTATGAGAGAGCTCCTTAATCCAAAGGCCCAAGCACCTTGTCTGTTGGGGATTATGTCTTCCAATTAACCTAAATTCTCTATTTCCCCCCCTCACTGTCCATTTCAACTCATCTGTTTGCATGCTTAAAAGGTGCAGATGATTGCCTGGCTAGATTAAGTGAATGATTTTTCTGTATGCACATTTTAATCTAGTTTAAAATGACAGTCTGAGCTTTTCCCTCATCGTTTTTTTCACAGGACATTTCTTTAATACCACAAAATCTCCAAGATTTGCAATTGACACTGCAATTAATTTCCCTCAGGCATACCCAAATTTGTTTGCTTTATCTCAGACTGATAACTGTTGCTTTTCAACTGAACGGTTTCAAGAAAAGATATTTTGAATGATATTTATGATATGCAGGCGGAAAAGACGATTTAACATACAGAGTTTTATTCATACATGAAATTGAGATTTTTTTCAGATGACTTCATTTGATATTTTACATTACTATTACATTACTATACTGTAATTTTTTTTTTTTAGGTAACTATCTGAAATCTCGTTGGTGGGCTGTGTGGGAACATTTTTTGGTCCCCATGAGAAAAACAGCTTATAAATCAGTCTAAATTATGTTTTTTGAAAATGTAAAAATGCAGAACGTTTTCTGTGATTTATAGGTTTAGGGTTAGGGGATAGAATATAAAGTTGGTACAATATATAAAATTATTATGTTTGTGGAAAGTCTCCATAAAACATGAAAACACAACGTTTGTGTGTGTGTGTGTGTCTGTGTGTGTGTGTGTGTGTCTATGACGTCGCCAGAACGCTGTCTCGTAACCCCGCCCAGCTGAGAATGACGTTTGGACTAGAATGTCGCCACTTCACCTCAGTTCCAGACATGGCAGCGTTGAGACAGGAGCATCGATATGGACTCTCCTGTGGAAAGATTAATAAAAGCATTCCCAACAAAACCATCTTTCACGTCAAGCTAACAGACACTGCCATCCGGACGCTGGAAGCCTATCAGAATCTCAAGGTAACGCGTTTGGTTCGATTTCGTCAGTGTTTATTTGTTCCACTGATCTCAATTGGACAGAAAGAAAAGTTCAGAACTCGCAACTTCAAAACAGTTGGCTGTTTGTAAAGTGTTGATTTATTTAGGAAGAGTCGCCTACGTCACTTTAAGTGCAATATGCTGTTTGAACAGGGACACATAGTAGCCTAGGAGGAAATCGGATCCAGTTGTTAGCCTACTGTGCTGCGTTAAAGTTCGTTTTTATTTATTGTAACTTATTGATATTTTTATACTGTGACAAAATTAGACAAATGTCAATCGTTTTATTTTTACGTTAAGCCAGTTGAAATTGGCTTTACAAAATCTCCTATCTTCCACTTTAGATTCAACATAAGGCGTCTCTTAATTCTTTCTGACAAATGATACGAAATGCAATATGACACTGTCTTAATGCTGGATATTGCTTTGCCTATTAAATTATGATAATTTAAAAAAGATGGAAAAAAAATGTTTATTTTACACAGAACACTCGGATCTTACGGTCTGAGAGGGGCTCAAGGTTCAAGCTCGAACTAATCGAGTAGCAATTAGCCTAACAATTCAAATAGTCATTGAGGTTATTATTATTGTTATTTTTATTTCGCTATGAAATATTTCATTTACTCGCATTGGACATTTCAATTCGCTGCAAGATTTAGTGAACTATCCGAGAATTAAAGCTTACTTGTGCGCATTTAACCTCGTATTGTCTCTTTTTATAATAAGTTCTTGAAGTTGTTTACTTAAATGTGCCAATTGCATGGCAACAGTCAATTACATTTAAAATGAAAATATTATTATATGCTGTTACAAACCTGTTTCTTACACAAAACGGAAGATGTTTTACGGAATGACAGCCTGAGTCCCCATTCACTTTTATTGTATGCAAAAAAAAAAAACATGCACTGTAAGGAACTTGACGCAGCAAGTCATTAACATTCTTTTGTGTTCCAAGGAAAAAAGAAAGTCAGACGGGTTTTGAACAGCATGCGGGCGGTTAAATGAGTTTTATTTTTGGGTGAACTATACCTTTAAGTGCAATGTTCGCCTCGCGCAAAGGAAAGCTGCACTTTACCAGTTATCCTTAGTAATCAATACTTCTCATTGTCACCGTCGGTTCTACAGCACAGATTCCAGTAATATCAATACTTCAGCGGTAAAAAGTGTACGCCAGCTGGACGGGGCGCTTGGTCAGTCAGCTTCATCTCAACCACAGCGCTTCTTGACGATGATTGGACGATCAAGGTGTATTTTTGTTGGCATGCTCTGTCGTATTGTTGTTAGACCTTTAAACGCTTGGACGCCGTCCTGATGTCATCGCTCATTGGTCAGCCAAGCGGTGTAGTATGTCGTTTGACCCAATCAGAACACGAGAAGACTTCCTAGAGCTTGCAACAGGAGCTCTATATGAATGTTCTATTGTCAATAATATGTGACCTAGTAGATAGAGTGAAAAGTAGAGATAAACACGTTGGGCTAAGTAATATTTTGGGTTCTGGTGGGGATTCCTTAATAATCTGTTTGATTTTTTTTTTTATTCTTTGTCTATAAATTATAGATAGATAGATAGATAGATAGATAGATAGATAGATAGATAGATAGATAGATAGATAGATAGATGCATTTAATATGTGGTTTGTCATTTCCATTGTCTGTTATACATTTCAATATTCAGTTCTGAGCCTAGTTATATGTATTATCGCATAAACTATACATTTATGTCTAACTACTATTAAGTTTTTTAATTAATAATTTGATAACATGCACTTAATGTGTACACTTTTCGTTTTTTATATTGTAGCCTACTGATATTTGAAAAATACTAAACTTAACCGTATCCCACCTCAATAGCAGCAAAAGTGTTTTGCAATACAACATGAACACAATACCTAACAATTATATATATTTAGTAGATAAAGACACCTACTATAAAGTGTTTCCATTTAATTTTACGAGTAAGAGGTAATAAATTATCGACAATGTATGGTTGGAGCTGTGGCTCTGGTCGGTCTGACATATGATGCTCATGGGAGACCTTGGGTACTAGTTTATCAATTACAAATTAGGCCAGAAGTGAAAATAAAAACAGTTAATTCATTGTAATATAATCAAGAACATGGTCAAGTCAGGTCACCAGATACCTCACTGTCCTCCTCTGACCTGTGCTCATTATGTGCTTATAAGCTGCTCTAGAATTAGAAAAAACAAAGTTCAAGTTCGCTACAGCACCACAACCCCCTTCAGTAATGTTTAGCCACTAATCCGACCACAGCAACAAACGCAAAACCAATAAGCCAATATTTTTTTAATAAGCAACTTGAGCTGCGCTGTACGTCTAAGAGTGTGACATGACGGCCTCTCCCTGTAACATCCATAATAGATAAACATGCTTGTTGACCAAAGCTCCAGCTGTACCTTGAAGATAATAAGTGCTATCTTTTGACCTTGCTTAATGGTTTTGAGCTATGCTGGGGGAAGCCTAATGTTTTTCTCCCTTTTGTCTCAGTAATTTACGTCAGTGATGTGAATGAGTCTGTTTCGTATATATATGGCGTTAATGCTCCTGGACGTTGGACTGAGCTGAGTGTTAAAAGCTCAACACAGCTCGCAAGAGATGGTTATATAAAAGGCCTATTTGTACACGCTTTATGTGGCGGACAAACACCACAGGGTAGATAATGTCCAGGCCTGCTTGATTTAGTTTGATGGACCTTTAGAAAAAAAAAAAAACCCAAATTGCTTTTTGCAACTTACCTTTAGTCCTAATTAGTGCTCAAAATTTGTTGGCTAAAAGCTTTTCCCATGATGTTTGCCCTGTCCCACCCCCACTTTTCACTCAACATCCTCGCACTCATCCACGCCTCACACAATAACATTTGATTGACTCATGTTAAGTCTTTCAAGTCGAGATTTATTAATCGGACGCATTCCAGTGCAGATTAGCAAAGCCCGGCCTTGATCTTTAGGCTCGCACAAGCAGAACCATGACACTGCTGAGAGGCCAGTGACAGCCAGCCTTGCTTTCTCTTGAAAGCAACCCCCCTCACACGCAGTCTGCATGAATTAATACAGGAGAGAGCTGTGCCTCTGTCGATGAGGGCAAGCAAGTAACGGGAGACTGTAATTACTGGGAAGGGAGGCTAATAGGTAGGCATGATATTTCACTGAAGTTAGTGCCTAAACACATCTTGTGGAAATGCTGGCATTGTGGGTAAACACTTAATACAATGAAAACCCTCATTGCCGTCCTAAACCTATATGACTTTCTTTCCTCAGTAGAACACCTTCTTTTTTTTTTTTCATACAATGAAAGTTAATATGTTGTTTTGGAACCTATTGACTTACATTTATATAGACAAAAAACTTGTCACACAGGTTTGAAAGGGCAGTAAATGATGACAGAATTTTCAGTTTTGCCTTCCTTCACTCATATAAGGCCGGTACAAAAACATTTGCGTTGTTTTTCTTAAAGCATCTTGGAATCTGTTCTAGCAATTCAGCTGGAGATTCCATTTCCAGGATGTCTTTGTTTCTTTCTAATCCTTTGTATAATAATAGTAGATGCTAACCAACACCTTTTTTTCTTCTGTCCCCAGGGGTCCTTACCGAATCAACCGGCAATTTGCTTCAAGGGGAACCAGGGGGTAAGATAAATGTGTTTTTCCTCACCCCTCCTGATGCCTAAAAATTGCAATCCTTTAATTAGACCTGATTGTCGAGTCATGCAGCTAAAAAACTCACGGCACCCCTCAGCCGCCTGCATGCTCTCAATATTTCATGAGCTCCTGAACCATCGCCTGAAATGGAGAGGGAACTGTAGCTCGCAGTGACGCCACTCTGAGGGCCTGCCCGACTAGATGGGGAACATTTATATAATTATAGCAGCACGCACGTTCATAAGCGCAATTATGCGCCATAAATTAGGAGAGTGTCATCGTTTGGATGCGATTCCTGGGTTTCGTATCATTTGCGTGCCAGTGGTTTGGTTTATATGCGAGTATTGTTATTTACAGCTAGTGAAATTGGCAGTGCGGTCACACTGTACGGCCTAGGTGGATTTTTAGTAGGGGGTGCATTCCAGTGAAACGTCTGTAAAGAAAGATGCCTGTGTCTAACCGGATTAACACATTCAGCCGTAGCACAGCTCCCCATCAGCGCCTGCTAGCCACAATCAGGCCCGTCGAAAACGTACTCATCTGATCCAGAAGCGGGACAGGAAAAGGACTCAACAAACGGCGGCCTGTGCGAGTCGATTGCGGTCGGAAGCCCGGGAGAGGCTACTCAACACCCCCGAGCTGCTCGCCAGGTTACTGGGTCAGACTGGTGACTGGAAAGGCTTTGTCAAGAGCTCGAGGAAGAGGTGGGGGTGTTGGTAAACCCAAGGGAGCCTCTGTGTGTCTCTATGCCTGTTGTCTCAGTGCAGACATGAAAGACCCGCGACAAGGAGGGGGATAACCGTGGCCGCTCTGTCTCCTAAAGCATCGGTCGACCCCCACTAATTCCACAATTATAATATGCAAAATACTGTCACATGTAGTCAAGCAATATCTGATCTAATGAAGTTTCTTCCGCTTTAAAATTGGAGTAGCATAGTTGTGTCAAGTGTGTAAAACTGGAATCTGTTCTAATTGTCGAATTAGATATAGTGATTATATCTTTAGCCCATTACATATTCAAATTGGCTGCACTGAATTTGAGCATTCATCCCCTCCTCCTCAGATAATGGGCTGCTGGGCATTAATGAGGTATTTGAGCCGAGTGTGTGTGTGTTTGTATGTGTGTCAGGGTGACAAATTAAGCTATTACAGCTGGGGGTAGGGAGTGATGTTAAGTCCACAGTACTGAAACCAAGTTATCAGTCATTCTATTAGCCGTAACCTCGGGATGCTTTCACTTTAGTCAGGCTTGATATGATTTTGAGCAGCATAGTTTTACAATAGATGGATTTCTTTGAACAACACTTGTGAGATAGATGCCTTTCTTAGGCTATGTCTACATTAATCCGGATTCATTTGAAAACGCAATTTTTGTTTTGTTTTGGCCTTCCATCCACACTTTTTTACTGCGAAACTGACCTCTTCCTTGATCATTTTGACAATGACATTTTCGCATTGTAGTGTGGACTGTGAAAACAGAGGTATTTGAAAACGATGACGCTTGTTTAGTCATGTGATGCATGTAGACCCATAGATTGCTGTGGTTATACCGGCCTTGTTGTGGCTGCTATTCATGTTCATAGGGTTTTTAAAAATAAATGTTACTTCTTATGTACAATCTTCATATTACATTCAACTTCACTTCACTGAAAATTTCTGTCCTGTGGCAAAACTATAGGGCTGTACGATATGGACAAAAAATACTCAATATATATATATATTTTCTTAATCACAGTTAGCAACATTTCCTTACACACCTACTTATCTTTATCATTTTTTGGAAGCCGGTTTTATTGATGGTATTTTCAGGCACCATGTCTTTGCATAAATGATGTGTGACTGTTTTGGTTATTTATTCATGGCTTTTGAACTCTTTTCATATGTTGTGCAGTTCGCAAATGCCTGTATTATCAATTTTTATACACCTGGTTTTGGGAAGGTGCAATTGCTTTGCCACAACGATAGCTTGACAGTTCTTACAAATTACCTGGTTGTATGATACATCATCTCGAGTCCTTATCCTGCCCTGAGATCATCTTCCCGGTTTCAGTGCTTTCTTCCAAACCCATTCTGTTCTCACGCCAGGTTTAGGCGTGCTGCATTCATAGTGCACACTGAGGGGGCTGGCGGAAAAATCGTGCTTTCTACGGTTTAGAAATCACGCATGCTCACATCGTGATTTTATTACGATTTCAATTAGTCACACAACCCAAGGCAAAACATGGGCACTTGTGTTTTAGATACTGGTTGGGTGCGACCCAGATGCGTCAATAGGTAGTGAGATAGTTTGCTAATAAAATTATTATGCCAGAAGAATAGTGTGAGAACTTTGTCTGGTCTCTCGCTATCATCTCAGTGAGCTTTTATTATTATCTTTTATATATACTCAGTAAGATGATTTATAGGGATAGTTCACCCAACAATGAAAATTCTGTCATATATGACTCACCCTCATGTCGTTCCAAACCCATAAGACATTCATTCATCTTCAGAACACAAATGAAGATCTTTTTGATGAAATCTGAAACTTTTCTGTACTCTCCATTGACAGCTACGCAACTACCACTTTTACGCTTCAAAAAGTTCTTAGAAAGATCGTAAAACTAATCCATATGAATTGAGTTTAGTCCAAATTTTCTGAAGATACATGATTGCTTTATATGATGAATTAAATGAATCAAACTCACTCATACTGTCAAAAATTACTAAAACGTCATTCGAATTAGACAAATAATCAATTTTCTTGTCCCTAATAATCAACATAAAGCAGGGGAAACTGCAACAGTGTCATATAATTAACAACACAAACTATCAATGAATGAATCACACTCTTACTGAGACTGCCGACAGTTTCTTTTACACGCATAATTTTATTATATCCATGTATGTGGATGTGGTTACAGCCAAGTCGCAGTAAAATCGCTCCGGATCTCTGTCCTGTCTTGCCTCGAGACTGTGATGCGAGCTCCACTGACAGTCTTCTATTGGTTGTCGCTCGCTGCTCGTTTGCATAAAGTTAACATTTCTGAACTTTTGTCACGTGACTCCCGTCGCTTGACACGCTTACATTCTTTCGCCGGCGGGTCACTGTCGCTCATGTCGCCAGAAGTCGACAGCCCTCCATTAAAAATGAATGGGAACATGTCGTTGAGTGTCGCTGGCGGTGTGAACGGGGCTTTAGCCAGGTAATTTTCCTCCACCTACAGGAGGGCTCCCCCATACTAGGGAATTCCCATAAACCTTGTCCTGGCTTGTCTCCAGACCTTTGAAGGGACAGCGTGGAAAAGTCAGGAAGTGCCCTGCTGAGAATTGTAAGCTGCCATTTTCCACTAACTTGACAATGCTTTGATAATGCGTGTTCATGTGGCAGTTAAGAAATAATTTAGCCATCATTGGGTTTTAACAGATGGGGGAGCTTTAATTTGCTCAATTCTCACCATCTGTGGAGGATGAGGATGATGCAACTGATGAGAAATAACACAGGAAAAGATGTTTCGAGTAGTAAAATTCCTTTTTATATTACAGGGAGTGATCCCCAATCCTGGGGGATGTATAGAATCTGAATGTCTTTGATGGCTTCACTAGGGATGTTCGGGTTCAGTTCGGATTCTCAAAGACTGGGATTTCACATCCCCATTTTCTTTTGGTAATTGGATTTTTGCTGCACAAAATTAATTATCCAGAGGATACAAATATATATGTCTGTCTCAATAAACAGAAACCGTTCTCACGGGGTTAAATATGAAGGGGTAACGGCAGTGTCCTGCAGTTTGACAGGCTATATTAGGACATTTCTGTATGACTTTCTTCCAATACTTGTATTATACATGCATTTTTATGATCTCATATTAATTGAGAGACTAAGACATGGCCGTAAGTGTGAGAGCATATTAAATTAGAGAGCATATTATTATGCAGAATCACGTAAAAGTTGCATTGCACAATTTTCATAATTCTTTTAAGGGGCAGGAACAAATTAGGATGTCTGAGAATGACGAATGTCTGTGATGGTAAAAGAGAAAGCTTTTAAAAATCTAGTTTAAAACGCATTTGCCAGCAAGTTCTTAGAAATTTGATCTTTGCATTCATGTTGGTATCATAGATTTTTGGAAAACTTTTACTGTATACCATTTTCAAAATGCAATGAAACTTTTACACGATTATGCGTAATATTATGCTCTCTAATTTAATATGCTCTCAAGTAAATCTGTGTATTTGTCTCTCGATTGATAACAGTGCATGCCATGTATACAATTGTGATATAGTTAAAATATCAAGTGGTGTAACCCTCAAATAAAAAGTATTGAATATTGAATAGACAGTAGTTATTGTAGACAATCATATTTAATTAGTTGCAAATAAAAACAGGGTTGCTTTTTCAAATGTCGTCCAATTTGACATTTTAAAGCCTGAAGTAACCATAAAATAAAATAAAAACCTTGACACACAGTCCTCTAGTTGATATGATACTTTTAATAAGTATCTTTTAGTAAGACTTTTTTTTTCTTACAATCTGCAGACAGTTTTTTTTTCACGTAGACATTTCTAATTTTATGCTACACAAATTAATATCAACAATTATTTAATTCAGAAATTGAAAACGTGTTCATCATAATGCATTGAACTTTTAATGTGTTTTTGAATAACAAAAGATCCAGACTCACAAAAAAAAGTGTGTTAAGTCAGTGACACTTCTTTACCAAAAACACCTGTTTATGACTTTGAGCAGACGATCCAACAGCAACAAGAATTTATACCTCCCTTAAAGCTTTTCTGAGTGAGTGTGTTCTGTGGGGGGTAAAGCATTTCTCTCTGAGATGTTCTCATGGTAAATGTGTGTGAAGGTTTAGCTTCCCCCCACCCATCTGTCTTCTCGTCATCGCTGTGATTGTCTCAACCTCTTTCCTCTCGCTGGGATGCACCAGTTCTCCATCTCGCACCTCCGATGAGTGTGTGTACGTGAGATTGTGATGGAGTCTCAGAGAGTG